AAAAAGCATAGAACATAAGCTACATATAGCAGGGTCCTTGTTCTGGTGCTGACCAGCTGTGTGACCTTGGGAAAATTATTGAGCCTCCCAGATGTTCAGTTTCCACATCTGTAAAATGGAGGCAAGAATACCTACCACATGGGATTGGGGGCAGGACTGAGAGAGTACAGGTAACCATTTAGCTCAGGTGAGCTACGGATGGGGCGGTTGCTCTTAGGAGTTGGAGGGAAACGGGGTATCACTTGCTCCTCTGTGGAGTTCCCAGGGCAGAGAATTAATTCTCTTCTGAGCTGTGGGTGGCTCCAACTGGATGTCTGGGTGTCTGGGAGACACAGGCTGCCCTGGGACGACCATGGGCTTGAGAGTCACAAGGACTGGAATTCCAATCCTGAATCCATTTGCCAGCCAGGTGGCCCTGAGTGGGTTTCCGAACATGGCTGAGCCTCCCTGTGTGAAGTGGAGCAAATACCGACCTTACAGGTGGCTAAGGCCCAGCGCGTTGTAGGTGCTTAGCAAATGGAGCCCATGGTTGAGTGGAATAGCGTCACAGTGGGCAGAACTCACTGGCCCAACCGTGTCTTGCAGAGGAGGGGGACGGGAACAAGGGAGAGGAACTCTCTGAGCCCACTCAATATGGCAATGAGCGTTGAGGCTAGAACTTGAGTCTCTCTCAACGAGCCAATGACTGACGTTTTCAGCTTGGGGTTCGCGGGGGCGGCCAGCCAGAGCCAGTCCTGTTCCCATGAGACTGTGGTCTGAGTGGGGGGGAGGGGGGCGCCAGCGGCATGCTCAGCTCCTGCTGACCTCCCTCTCTCCCTCACTCCCAGCCCTGACCCCGTCCTCGACCAGGACGGAGAATTTGACCTGGATGAGACCATGGACGTCGCCCGGCACGTGGAGGAACTCTTACGCCGCCCGATGGACAGTCTGGACCCGCGCCTCTCCCCGCCTGCCGGCCTTTTCACCTCTGCCCGAGGCTCGCTCTCATGAATGTTCGAATCCCACGCTTCTCTTTGGAAACAACACTCAGTGTGAAGGGGGCGTGTTAATGGTGATTTTAGTGTTGCTGGGCGTACGGATGCCTCCGCTGTGTGTGTGTGTGCCTGCCTTGCCTGCGCCCAGGAGCCACCAGCTTGCTCTCCAGATCGAGGCGCTCGAGAGCCCGCCAGGCCTGTGTCTGTCGCGGGAGGGGCTCCGCTTCTGCCGGCTGCTGTCACAGGTGCTGTTCCTGCCCGGGCCTTTCCGGCCTCACTGCTGTTTGAAGGAAATTATTCAAGAAGGGGCTTGGAGACGGGTCATGTCTCCCAGCTTAAGTTGTACTCCTGAGTGAGAAGCTTTAGCTCCCAAGTGTGTGCGTATGTGTTTATGTATGTGCATCTGTTGCCATGCCCGTGTGTTGGTCTATTGATTCTTTCCCTCGGGAGGGAGGCTGGGATTCAGTTTTGAGTCATGTTTATACTTTATCTAATGACTATGGACTCGAGACTGTTTGTGACCCGAGGGCTTATCTAGACCGTGGCCCTAACGCAGCAGGAACGGGTCTTTGGGGTCGGGTCTGTCAGAGCTGCTCTGAGTACGTAGTTGCTTGGCCTCCCGGCCTCCTGGCCTCCAGCCAGGGGACTTGGGCTTCATGTTGCCCGGTCCTGCTATCATTTTCCAAGTGTGATCGCCTCCCCTCCATCGGGCCCCAGCCTTCTTTCCCTGACGCTCTGCAACCCTGCTCCCAGGAAAGGTGGGAGACGGGCAGGAACTGGGCTAGGACGTGGTGGGTGAACAGAGGGCCGGGGACTTGCAGGGCTGATCCCCCTCTCCTCCTGGAAAACTGCACTGAGAGACGGCCGCAGAGAAGCCGCTTGCTGCAAGCCTGTGGAATCCCGAGTGAGGGGTAAAAGCTCAGCTCGCTCCCCCCTGCTGGCAGGTGGACCTGGACTAGGCCTCATCACAGTTGCATGACGCCGAGGTCTGAGAAGGCCTTGCTCCCGACCTCATGAGCTCCTCCCTCGGAGGCTCTGTGACGTGCAGCCGGGGGCAGCTGGTGGCAGAGGGTCGGGAGTCCCGGGTTTAAACATCCCTGAGGGAAGGTGGGGACCAGAAGAGGGATCCTTGTGTCCTTTGTACATAGGCCACACATTTGTGTAAACGGTGTTTTCAAATAAAGTATTTTTTTCATAAATTTGCTGGCACAGCTCCCGGGTGGGCAGCCCTGGGTAGCGGGGATCCCTGGCGCTGGGGTGGTTTTGTTGCTTCCCTCCCGTGTGGCTGGTGCTGTAATGCTTCCAAAGCTACCACTCTGCACCCTCTTCCGTGTGTTAAGGGCGCCCACCAGCCCTGGAACGCTGTCTCCGCTTCTCAGAAGACAAACCGACTAGGGCTGGAGGCCTTGGGGGAAGGGGGTGGGGGCAGGAACTCCGGGGCGGGGGCCAGGAGCGGGAAGAACGGGGCGGGGGGGGGGGGTTGGGCTTCTCCTAATCAGCGGCTGCTATAAGCAATCTTGAAGCCTTTGACGTGGGGGTTGGGGGGTGGGGGGCAGTGCCAGGGCAGCAGGGAGCCTCAGCGACACTCCCTCCTCGCCCGCCTCTTCCCGGACACCAGCAGGTGGCACCATCCCACTGCCACCAGCCCATTCAAAGGGCCAGCCGGACCAGTGACCCGTAGGGAAGCTGGGCGAGGAGGATGGTCTCCCCATTTGGACCCCCTGGCGCCGACCTGCTGCCAGTCCAGGGGCTGTCACTGGGGCCCTGGTGGGGGGGTGGCAGGGAACGGCTTGGGGAGCCAGGACCTACCCATGAGGTTCCTTCAGAGCTCAAAGCAAGGGAAGAGGGGTTTGCAGCCTGCCCCAAGGAGGCGCAGGGGCCCTGCGTGGGGCTGGCGGGGGTGGGCTGGCGGGGAGAGCAGCCGCTAATCTCCCCTTCCATCTCGGCAGGGCTGGCGGCTGGTATCTCAGCCCGCGGCGCCGTCTCCATGGCGCTTGGCACGGGGGGGGTGGGGGGGGAGCCAGCCGAGTGGGCGCGTTGATGTCTGTGAATTATCACCACCCGTCGGGCAGCCAGTGAGGTGTTTCCGTTCATCCCCGCTGAGTGAACTGAAGAGAAAGTGATAATGGAGCAACTGTGGGAGGGGAGGCCTTGGGGTGGGGTGGGAGTATCTTCACCCCAAGCCCCCTTAGGTAGCGCTTATCTGACCCCAGACAGGTTGGTGGGGCTTGCAAAGGCCCGAGGAGGGGGGTTAGGAAGAGGGAGAAGGGGGCCCTCCACGGATACCTCTGGCTCCTCCAGTTACCCCTCCCTGGAGGCCGCTGGCTAACATAGCTGGGGGGGGTGCTCGGGGCCCCAGAAATGGGCTGCGGGGACCAGTCTGGGAGCAGGGGCACCCGCCTCCTGTCAGGGTCCAGGCTCGGCCTGTGGGTAAGGCCCCCTCAGAACTGAAGGGGGGAGTGGAAGGGGAACCTCCAGCAGCCAGAGACAGAGCTGCCACGCCCTCAGACGGTTCCTATATAACTTTTATTTCTGGAAGTTAAAGTAGATACAGCAATATACAAAAACAAAACAAAAAACCAAAAACCCACAATAATATAAATTTTTACACTATGAAGTATACATTGGAATTTGATGTGGTGACCAGGACAGCAGCATACAAACCACTGTGCAGGTAGGTTGAGCCATCTATGGGAACCCCTCAGCTGGGCTGGGGACGGGCAGGGGGAGACAGTGGAGAGAAAGCGGGCAGGTCCCGGAGGGCTCAATTCTTGAAGGGAGGGGCTAGAACAAGTCTCGGCTCCTCTCAGAACTTTTGCTACAATCAGAATTAAAACCAGATACACACGCTACCTCAAAGCCGCCAACTTTACAATATCTGCGCCATAGAAGCCTGGATCCTTGCCCCAGGTCCCTCTGATCTAAATCTTCTCTCAGTTTCTGAGTTAAGCTTATTATGAAGTGAAGAGTGTTGGTGGAGAAGGGAGAGCTCTGTACTACCTACCATTTCTAGGCCGAAGGACAGGGATGGCCAAGTGCAACCCCTGTTTGTCTTGGAGAGAAGGTCCTCATCCCCTTAATTCTGAACCTGGTGAGTATGGGTAAAACAAACAGCACACCATAGAAACTCTGGCCAACTGAGATAAGGTGGTCCTGGACCACCCAATCTAGTCAGGCCTCTGGGTCAGAGGAGGCCCAAATACTGGAGACCACAAAGTGTTCTGAGACGCACAGTAAATGGGAGTTGTTCTGCCTCATCTGTGAGGCCCCCATGGGGAGGAGACAGTCACCAGCACGGGGCGGGGTTGGGGGGGAGAGGCCAGGGTGTACACTCCCTCACACAAGGGATAGACCTCGAGTTTATCAGTAAGCCTTTGCCCCTGGCTTAACCAAGTGAAGAAGTGATTAGAGGTGCCACAGGGAATCACCAAGAAACCGGGATAAGAACTGTATTCCCTGAGCTCAACTAGACCCTTGGCTGGGGCCCCAACAGTCTGTTGTGTTCCACCTGGAACTCTCGCCTTCTTATTCCAGGATTCTCAAACAGGACAAGGGACCTTTAGACACTGAAAGGAGCCCTACACAAGGGGGCTCAGGTGGACAGGGAGGAAAGATCACCCCATCCCTTATAAGGCACCCACAGGAACAACCCAGGCTCTGGAACAGGAGAGGTCCAGGGAGACGGGGGGCGGGGGTGAGGACAGGGGGTAAACACTCCTCTGCCCAGCCTTACCTACTAATAGGCCAACACATTAAAGGGGAAAATAAAAACTTCGTTTATTAAAAAATGTCTAGGATGTTTAGGTTGTCCTTCAACCTTCCTATTTCATAACCAAAGGCCAAGCCACAGCTTCAGATGTCTTTTAAGGGTTGGATCTGAAGCCCATTTCAGGATTTCTATAAATTATCAGCCTGAAGAAAGCTGAATGCCTAAAGCACCAAGAAGGCTACTGACTGAGTTGTCTTAAATACAGAAAAGGTTATGCCAATACAGTGTTTTTTGCCCTTTAATTTTTTTTTTTTTAAAATTTAAAAAGAAACTTAGGGGCTGTGAAAGTCCTATCTTCTATTTGGTTGTTAGCAGGGTTAAAAGTGCAATGCCAGGAGGAATGTAGCTAGAGGCAGCCTGTGGTGTGAGTTTACAGAGACAGGCAGAGGGATGCGCGGGCACCAGGAGGCACTTGTCTAAGGACAACACGAGCTGCTGAGAAAGGAAGGCCGGGGAGCCAGAAAAGACCAGAACATTTCGTTTTTCTCGCTCTTGCCACCCCTTCCACATCCCCCGGTCACAGTCTCAGAGAACACATTCTTATTTGCATTTAGGTAAAAGCATATCACCCACATTCACTCATTTCTCTATTTTTAAAAGTGCCCAGATTACTCAAAGATAGCAGAAGTAGGAGATTAAAAAAAAATCTGGAAGCACAAAGTGAGAGGAGTCTCAGACGATCTGGGGGTTGGCTGTGTAAGGGGTGGTAGAACACAGGGAGGTGCCTCCGTCCTCGCTCTCTGCAGCTTCAGCCTGCCGCTCCTCACATCGGGGAGGTAGCGCACTCTGAGGTCAACTCCATGTCGAACGTGAGGGACTCTGGGGGGACAGAGCGGGAGAGCTCGTTCAGTTGCCTGAGCCCGAGAGCCAGCAGGGCACGCTCCCGCAGCCCTTCGGGGGACAGAGGCTCAGCCACCACTGCCATCCAGTGTCTTTGCCCCGTATGGCCAAGACAGGGTCGGACACTCCAGATTTACTCTCCTCCCTAGAGGGTCTGGTCTTCTGGAAGGGCTCAGTCCCCTTCCTCCCTTAACTCGTTCCCAACTGTCCACGTGGAAAGAAGACTGAAGGCTGTCCTGCAGAATGGGGCAGCTCAGAGCCACGGGTGGCTACTGAGCATCAAAATGTGGCTAGTCCCACTCAAGATGGGCTGTAGCCATACAACACCCAGCAGGTTTCAGAGACTTAGTACAAAAAAAAAAACAAAACACCTCATTAACTTTCTCTTACGTGCTAAAATGCTAGTATTGGCGATTTATTGGGTTACGGAAGAGATACTATTAACGTTAACCTCACTTGTTTCTTATTGCTGTTTTTCACGTGGCTACTAGAAAATTCGCACTTACAGGCATGGTGCACATTTGGTTTCTAAGGGAGAGCACTGCTTTAGAACTTTCTACCAATCGCGTGATTGGGGGGGGGCAGCTCTTGGCTTGGTGCATGGCACATGAGGGGGGCTGACTTCCCTCCTAAGGACAGGGTCTGTCACCAAACACTCACCGAACTGCCCTCCTGCTGAGGGCTCAGCACCTTCACCATTATTTCCAAACTGCATCAATGAATCTAAAGTGCGGGGGGACATCGGCAGGTCAATGGTATTGCTGCACGTCGTTCTGTAGGAAATGGGGAGCAGCCGGAGGGGAAAGGGCCGGGTTGACAAGACACAATGGAGAAAAAAAACAAAACAAAACACACACACACAAGCCATCAAACTCTGGTCTCCAACAGAAAAATAAAAGCTCAAGCTTTTTAAACACACAGGGTCACTCTGAGTGCTACACAGAGCCCAGGGCATCCGGGCCCTTCACAGGACCGCTCTCACCCGGAGTCCTACTCCCAGGAGAACTGAGGACACCAGAAATGAAGGCCAGATTGAGAAGGGAAGCCACTTACGGTGTCACACAGATAAACTTGGTCTTCAGGTATGGGGCAGCACCTGGGAAGAAGAAAACTGGGGCTTACTAATTGTGACCCCACTGTGGGCCGAGGGCAGGAGGACGCCGGCTGCCTCATTGGCACTGACGTGCACCCCACTCCATCCTGGAGCGGAGGCCCTTTTGAAGCCCCATCTCCCCTCAGGGATGCCGTCCCACCACTGTGTCCTGTTGGGTGTGCGAGGAGCTCGCAGCTTGGTGTTTCAACCCTTTCCATAAAGCTTTCCTGACCTGCAGAGACTTTTAAGCACACCCTGGTCCCACCTGAGCCTAGACCAATGCCAGCCTTGTTCGTTCTTTCCCTAGATGATGTGAACATTGAGCTGCCTGCATGGGGTCTGAGGATTGTATTCTGGGCCTGGCCGAATCTCTTCGCTACAACTTCTCCGCATGCAGGAAGGGAGCCGACGCAGTCTGGCCTCGGACACACACAGTCCTGCTCAGATGCCAAAGTCACCAAGTCTCTAAGAGAATGTGGAAATTGCTCATGCTGTTGCGAGGCCCAGAGTCATACTTTTCATTTCTATGGGCATTCATCTGCCTCTACTACTTTTTAGGTGAGCCGTATTAGTAACTCCCCACTTGGAGAGCAACATCACACAAAAATCAGCCTCAACGGAGGCTGCCTGGTGTGGCAGTACCATTGACTCTGGACTGAAGACAGGAGGCCTGGGGCCTGTCATGTCTTCCACAGCTAAGACACCCGGAGCAAAGCACTTTCTACACTAAGAGGGAGGGGGAAGAGCGAAGTGCCCCTCTGGGTCATTTATAATTCTTGTTCCATAGTTAGAAATGTGAGGACTGGAATATAAATGAATTTTAGACGCTAAATGTTCACACCAAGAGGTCAAGGAGTCTTGAAGACACTGGCATGAAATCTGGGGGATTCTGGTGAACAAATCACTTAGGAGGTGTGAGGCAGGGTGGGGTGGGCCGAGAGAAGCACAGTTATAAAGCTTGAGATTTATAGGGAGACCAAGGAATCAGAAAGTAGACTGACAATCTGAGAAAAGGCATTGTCAGGGGGTCCTTAGATTGCCATCCAAGGTTATTTGGGGCCAAGAAATAGATGGAGCAGAATGTGGAGCAGAATCCAAAGATGCTACCCAGGCAGGGTTCTGGTGTCTTATAAATCCACTGTGGTGCAGAGTTGAGGGGAGCTGACATCGCGGACAGAGAAGGATTTAGTTCCCCAGTGATCAGGTAGCTGAGAAAACTAGCTTTAGCCGGAGATTCAGCAAGAGCAGAAACAAAGGAGAACCAAGACTGAAAGTGGAGCTTTGTACAAGGTTGTCAACATACTTCATCCAATTTGTAAGGTAAGGAGGGTGTCATTTCTAAGAGATGCCTCTCCTACCTCAAGCCATCGAGAAATCCTGTGTGGGGTCTGGTGGAAAAGTAAGGAAGAAGAGTCCTGCAAAGACATCGATCTATCCCTGGGGGCAAAAATACTTTCATGATGGAAAACAAGAAGAAATGGGCACAGATCCATCTCCTGGAGGATGCCCACTTGAACGCAGGGACACCCCCAGCACTCAGCCCACCCCATCGTCATGCTCCCAACACACCAAGCCCCTCAGTGCCCACTGCTTACACTCGCCTCCCCAGGAGGCCGGCAAAGCACTCAGGTAATTAGTTCCTTTCTCCTGCCTGGGCTCTTGACCCGAGAAAACACTGGTGACCCGAGGCAGGAAAGGACCTTGCCGGCGGTCACACAGGATGGCTGATGATAATGGAGGGCTTGGCCTCAGATTGGGAACCTGGATCATGAAAGCAAAATGAGCCAAAGGACCAGCACTTGGACCTAAATGTCCTCTGCAGAAGGAACAAAGAGTAGCATGTTGGGACTGATAAACACATCTCCCAACTGAAGCACAGCTGGAAAGCCAGATAAGTAGCAGACAGGAAGTGAGAGTTAGTTCTTCTATAGTAGGAACAAAACCCAACACCAGAACAAAGGAAAGAGGGAAGTCAATTAACAAGTAACTCAAATTCCTTCTTTCAAGTCCCGGTCTTACCCCATCCCAAGAAATTCCTCAGAGGGGATTCCTAGGAAAAGGTAGGTGTGTGCTTGCGTGAGGTCTTTGCACAAAAACGGTTTTTCCAAAAGCAACTGGAGTAGGGAAGCTACCCTCAAAGGATCACTTTAAAGAGCCCCCTGCTGGCTCTCCAATTAAGGGAAGTTAAATAACAACAAAGAATGGCAAATCATAGGCTCCCCATCAGGATCCGGACAAAGAACCCAGAAAGCCAAAGCAGCAAATGGGGATGGGACAGACCAGCGGGGCCACCCCTCCAGGCTGCTGACAACACTAGAGGTTACAAGCTTACTATGGAACAATGTCTACAGGCTTACAGAAACACCTGTGCTCTTGCACATGGCACAACTGCTTCATTCAATAGCTTCGCGCGCTAAATCCCACCCCAAGCCCTCCCACAGATTACAGGCTCCCCCTCAATCACCACTCCCCCCCGCCGCCTCTGCTCATAAACCACGTTCCTGTGCTGCTAACTCTCATTTCCTCCAGAAAGCCTTTCTCCATCCCACACAACACTGCCCACATTGTTCAGTGACGGGGAAAAGGAAACACACTAGACTCGAGTCTGAGTTGCAAACCTTCCAGCAGCTACTGTGTAAGAAGCGCTGTGCTGGCTGGACATCCTGTTACTAAAGAATCCTGTCCTCACTCTCTATCGGCAGCAGTTTAGATGTCTGGGCGTGAGTGTGTGCGTGCTATTTCTCCCTTTAGCCTGGCAAGTTCCCTGTGGGGCAGAGACAAGTGACTGATTCCTCTCCTCTCTCCAACCCCATCAGCCGCCCCAAAAGCACTCACTACAAAGTTCTTTCCCATAAAGAGGAATAAAAGATCAGGCCCTTCGGGCATTTACCTGTCTGTCCCTCAGGGATCCTGCAATTTCCCTTTTCCCAGAATTCAATGCACGACACGGAAAATCAACAACTACCTGGGTCAGCTTCAGGATGCTCCTGGCTCTCTGGTCTACAGTACTTTCCAAATGCCTCCTCCTTAGGAATGTCAGGGTAGAGATAGACCAGCGGAGACACCAGGATGTTGGTAGCATCCATGATCTTATAGCCCATGATGATTTCAGCAAACGACATGTTGTTCAGCTGCTGCTTGGTATATGGTTCCACTGACTGGATCTGGGTCTTACCTGTCATGGGACATTGTAAGGGAAGATAAGTGCACCAGGTAATCTCGGAGAAGATGACCCAATTTATTTTTCTTGAAAGGGAAAGACTTATGCCAACCTAGCTCCTGAGCCCTGAATAGCCTGTCCAGTCAGCTGGCACTGTGGAAATGTTCAGCTGGTTTCTGGAGAGACTACCCAGTTGGGGCATAGGCAATATACCTGAATGACTACACACATAAGATATATTAACAAGGAAGGTAAGAAAGGAGATGAAGAATGAGATTTAAAGTGCAAATTTCTAGGCAAATATTAGCCCCCGAAGCAAGCAAAAACAAAACTGGCAAACAGCTGAAAGAATCTGGAGAAAAGAAGTCACTGAGGGACGCCTGGGTGGCTCAGTCGTTAGGCGTCTGCCTTCGGCTCGGGTCATGATCCCAGAGTCCTGGGATCGAGCCCCGCGTTGGGCTCCCTGCTCGGCAGGAGGCCTGCTTCTCCCTCTCCCACTCCCCCTGCTTGTGTTCCCTCTCGCGCTGTATCTCTCTCTGTCAAATAAATAAAATCTTAAAAAAAAAAAAAAAAAAAGAAGAAGTCACTGAAAAGTGTTACTGCAAGTCGGAGGCAGGGGAGTGCAAAGCCACCTTTGCCCACTAGGGGGCAGCGGGCGCTCGAAACTAGTGCTGCTGTGGCGGCAGCAGCAACTGCCACCAGGTGGGGTGGGTGAGAGTCCAACTTACCGCTGATGTCCTTCTCCACCCAAGTGAAGGTGACACCTCCTTCTTTGCTGCTCTCACTGAATCGTAGCAGAAAGGTGCCTGGGGGCTTGGTGCTCAAGATGGCCCGCTCCCGTTCCTTACTGATAAAACCCATTATGTACCTGGAGCCAAAGAAGAGCGACAAGATCTGGGCTGACAGGGTCCCCCCATCACCGGCCTGCTGAGAGAGCAGGTGACTTCTTACACACGTGCACTCCGCCAGACACAAGAGTTTCAACCTACCCTTCATTCCAAAGAGCCAGGATGTACTTTTTCACAAGGTCAATGATATTGTCTAGCCAAACCCAGAAGGAGAAGCCTTTGCCAGCCATGTTTTCCTAAAGAAAAGAATAATAGGAAAAGCCAAGTCCACCCTCCCAGGCTTTTCCTTCCTCAGGGCACGATGCCACCAAAATCCCCAGGCCCATCTACCCTCAGGTAGGTCCTACTGACTGCGAGACCATGAGTCTTCAGCCTTTAAGCCCAGTCCCATCCACGACAACCTCACAGGTGAGCATTCTGTCTTACTCCCACTCCCACTAGCTGGCCACGAGGATTTAACAAGACGGCTTACTTTGCAAAATTTAGCCCACGTAATCTGACACCCTGAATAGTTCACACCAGGTCCTGAAGGAAAAAAAGAATAAAGTTTGAATCAAGGTTGTATTTCTTATAACAGAACACACATTCATACACATCTGTCCCACGATGGGCCAAGAAACCATTGGCTTCCATGGTTTTGAAGGCTCCCACTGTCGTGCGCATGTGTGTGCACACGCACATACACACACATCCACCCTCACAAAACCCCAACATCTGATCACCTGGGGTGTTGTTTAGCCTAGCAGAGGTGGTGGATGACATATCAAGTCTCCTTCCCCCTCTCCCCAACCCCTCCTCCTCCTCTTGCGTGGTGGATTGGGAACCAGCAGCACACGTGAATAAGCTGACAGTGTTAGAGGTTCACGTCTGGGGACAGCACAGGATAAAGCTGCTTTCAGTGCAGGTAGCATGTAAAATAGTGCACTAAATTTTTTTTTCAGGAGGAAGTAAAAAAAAAAACAAGCATCCAGTTTATTGAAGAAATGGACAGGGATGTCAAGCTTTTTACCTCTGCCTTCTAACAAGCACTTAAAAAAATCTCTTCCGAAGGTTAGACAAAGTCGTGCTCTGGAAGGGTGGAGGGGTCCAGCCACCAGGAGAAAAGACATCTGCCTCCTACCTCAGAAATGATCACCAGGAGCCAAGCTTCCTCTGCCTCCCTACTCCACTGGTCCCCCCAACCCCACCCCACCAACTGTGGGAGCGCATGCGTTCTGGCCCCAGCACAGAGCCTCGCTCGGCCAATTTTCCTGAATGAACAGCCCCACAGGCCAGATTCCTTTTCTGAGGAGGGCAGCAGGGAAAAGAGCGAAAATGCTGACCTAAGAGTTTCTCTGCCAGCGTAGTCAACTGCTCGATGCTCAGCCCTCGCTTTGTGGTGGAGGAGAACTGCCAGCTCAGCACCTCGGCCACTTGATCCCAGGTGCCAATCGGGGGCTTGGTGAAAAAGTTCACGTTCTATTGAAAACGACACAGTTGCTCATTGAGATGAGACAGGGGTGCCTGATGACCCACACGAGGGACCACAATGGTTTCCGGAGGATGGGCGCCTACCTTGGGGTTGTTGGTCAGCATGTTATACCACAGAATTGATGCCCAGGCATTTGGCATCTGACAGATGTTGGAGATCACCACAACTGGCAAGGAGTGGGTCTGTGAAGAAAGTGGGGAATGAGTTGGGGAGGCAGAGGGCCCTCAAAGCTTCGAACATCTCTTCAGCCATACCTGCAGGTTTTGGAATAAAAGGATGTGCCGTGAACCACACCTACTGCCAACTTTTGGGGAAGAGCGTGGCTGAGTCAGCTCAACACCCAGAGGGGAGAGAGTGCCAAACATGGGCCACAGGGCACAACCAGGAACTTGAAAATCTGACTTGCTCAAAGCTGGAACTCACAGCCCCCAGACTGCCCATTTATAAAATCTGGAAGGCATTCTCTGAGAACTGCAGCTGTATCTACCCGTTAGACAGAGAGGTCCCAGGAGTCAAAGACGAGGATTCTTGCTTTCTTCAGCTCTATCTTTAACTTAAAGACCAAGAAAATTGGTAAAAGAGAATGCAAATGCCATGATTTCCTGTATACTAAAAACACTGGCTGTCTAAAGACTATTTTGCCCAAACTTTATAAAGTCAACTATAACTAATTTCTAAATATAGATTTTCACATCAAATTTGCTGAAAGCTGACTTTATAGTTGACCCTATGGGGGTCAACATGGGTTTGAACTGCATGGGTCCATTTACACGTGGATGATTTTTTTTTTTTTTTGATAAACAGAGTACAGTACTGTAAATGTATTTTCTCTTATGATTTTCTTAGCAACATTATCTTTTCTCTAGCTTACTTTATCGTAAGAATATATAAAACATATAACATACAAAATGTGTGTTAATAAAAAGAATTAAAAAAATTTAAAAAAATGTGTGTTAATAGACTATGTTATCAGGAAGGCTTCCAGTCAACAATAGGCTATTAGTTGTTCAGTCTGGGGGGAGTCAAAAGTTACACACAGATTTTCAACTGGGCAGGGGGTTGGCACCCCTAGCCCCTGTGTTGTTCAACGGTCAACTGTATGTGCATCTTCTAAGCACTCAAGCAAGACTCTACTCTCAGCTGGGATACTCTGGAGTTTTGGGAGAAAAACAAGCAAAAATAAACACAGTGCTGAGCAGAGAGTCATCACTCTACCTTCTGTAGAAAAAACCCCAACTAGAAGTTCTTGTCCCAAATCACCCCTGCATGCAGCCCTGTCCCAACTCTGTGTCAGAACTCACCTCAAGGTCAATCTTGAGGCCTTGGTGATACACCTCAGTCTCAAAGGTGATCAGGTGCAGCTCCTCGGTGACAATCAGGGAGGCCTACAATAACAAGAAGGACACTCTCTTCCTCAGAGAGAACGGCCTTGGACACTAACAGCCATAGCTGAGGAGAACAACAGGCCACAGCCACGCCGCACCAAGAAGGGTAGTCCACTAGGAGGCCACAGACACGCCGCCAGGGACACAACTCTGAGCACATGCTCTCTTCAACTCTAAGTGCTATGATCCTCAACCTCATCTTTTACTGGTCCTTCAACCTCATCCTTTACTGGTTTTATTAGAAAATTACAGACCCAAGAGGTTATTTATAAAATGGGTAAGGCACAAAGAATAACAAAACAATGAACACCTGTACCCATTACCCAGTGTAAGAAAAAGACCATTACCACTGAGATTCTCAGGGTGCCCTTCCCCACTCCCATTCTTGTCCCTGCTCACTCAGATCTAACTGCATTTGTCTTTTGGATTTATTATTTCCTAGCTTTTCTTTATGGCTTTACCTTATTTATATCTCTAAATAAGGTATGCGCTGTTTAGTTTTGGATGTTTGTGAACCTTGTACAGATGGACCCATACCCTATGTATTGGGGTGACTCACTTTTGTATGCCTCACTTTTTGCGTCCATGGTTGTAAGAATCTGCTGGTTATTCATTTTCACAGTTATATAGTATTCCATCATAGGACTCTACCACAAATCCTTTATCCACTCTAGTGGTGATGGAGGGTTATAGTTAGGACTTACCATCAGGCTGCTGTGACATTTTGTACATGGTCTCCTGCTACGTATGTCCAAAGATTTCTCTATTGTTAAATCCTGGGATTGGCACTGCTGGTTCATTTTTTATAATGCCAAATTGTTTTTCTGAAGTGACAATTTATACTCCCACCAGCAATATAGCTACCTTATTTTCAGTAAGACTTCCCAATGAATTCTCAGAAACACAATGCCAATTCATTTTTAAAACACTTTTTTCCTAACTATAAAAATTATATATGTTCAGTTTAAAATGCAAATATTACGGAGATAGGATACAGTAGTCTTGGATACTAACAGCAGCATAAATACATCAACACTGTTTGGTATACATTCCTTGACAACTTTGGGATGCATACACGAATAGGCAAAAAACAGTGTAGTACACTTTTTAAACAAATATACTAATATACTATTCAAATTATTTTGCATCTTGCTTTTTCTTTTCTTCTTTTTTTTAATAGGTTCCACACCCAACGTGTGGGGCTTGAATTCACAATACCAAGATCAAGAGTCACACACGCTCTACCCACTGAGCCAGCCAGGCGCCCTGCATCTTGCTTTTTTGAAACAAATATGCCACACACATTTTTCTATGTTGTTGCACTTCACTCTTAACAGTCAAGTACTGTCAATTCACAATTCACCTTTTTTTTTTTTTTTTTTTTTTTTTAAGGTCTGCTACATATTAGAGAAGAGGGAAGACTGGCTTAGGGCATAAACACCAGAAAAAGAACAGGGTGTCACAATCTTTTCAAAAGAGTTAAAAACTAGTTTCTGGTCAAATTTACCTTTTTTTTTTTCAAATAATTTATTCTTGACACTAAGCATTCGATAATCTGAATCAGAGGGAGGGAGACAATAAGGGAGATACGGGGGACCGGTTTTATTCTTTTTCTTAGGTATTTAACTCCGACTTATTACAACCTTCGATGCCACCGCAGTGAGAAAAACAGGTCACTAAAAATGGAGCCAAGTCGTTTGGGCTGGCAGAAGTTGGAAGGGGAATCTGGAAAGCCCCAGGCAAGGTGGAAAGCTTCTTTTCTACTAAATGGGTGTGGGTAAGTCAGCCAGGGACTTTCCACTCCTCCTTAAAGATGAGCCAACTCCCAGGACAATCAAGGAAATGCTCCAAGCCGGAGCACTCCAGAGCATGACTTCTGACCATGTCCTTCTGACCTGTGGTGATTTTTCTGGATGACTACGGCTTAACCACAGGTTGGTGTCTCTTATTCTGGGCAATAAGAAGGCTCTTGTTCTTTCCCCATCAAAGGAAACCCTCCCAGTTGGCTTTCATCCACAACAAAACTTACGTCACAATTGGCTCGGCCCCCATTACCACATCTTTGCTCTCTCAGGGTCTGTAAGAGAAGCAGGGAGCACCGGTGTCACGTGAGGCTCCCCACCACCAACCTCCCCCCACTCCCTCTACAAGACGCCCTGGGAGACGGGGACCCAGGCTCCTGCCTCGTACCAGGTGTTTGAATTCTGCAGACAGGCTGCCGTTGTTGGACTCTTCCATGTTCATCACTTTCGTGTTTGTGCCCAGAATGTTAAATTTCCGGGATCTGAATCACAGCAGAGAAACCAACCATATAGGTGACTGGGTAGCCAGAGGACAAAGTCAGATTAAACAGATCAAAAGGAAGCCTCCAGGCTGAACTTACCCTCTGAGAGCTGCAACATCCCCGGAGTCTCTGTTAAGAGTATAAACTGGTGTTAATAAAACTGGCCCTGTGTTTCTTCAAAAAATACCTGTCATTTACTCTGCTGGAAAAACCACTGTTCTCCTGGGAATTTCTGTAAACGATTCAATTACATTTTATATGTGACATATGACAACCCTCTCCATTCCTACCCAGCATCAATTCCCTCTTCCCAACAAACCCTTGATTCTGCTCAAGAATCCTTCCCGTGCCCACCTCCAGGGGATCCTGATCGTTAAGTACATCAGAGCAAAGCATGCCCACAGCGCAGTGGTCCTGGGGGTGAGGACATGACCTATGCCGTCTCACTCAGACTGGGAAGGAATTACAACCCAGGCTGGATTTACTTTCCACAGCTGCAATGGAATATGAGCAATGAAGCATGGGACCTTAACTACCATAAGCAACCACACTGGAACTCATAACGGAATCTTACAAAGCCGGTAATACTTATGATGGCCGAGAAAGCAGATGGAAGATTCTGGGTCCTCGGTGACCTACGTGAGTCACTAATCTCACTGTCAGGAACTTGCCCTAACTCCGCATTTCCAGTTACACCGGGCTGCAAATTTCCTTTATTATTTAAGTCACACTGGGTTTTCTCTAAAGGTTTACTACTACCAACAACTCAGATCATCCCATTTGATATTAGCTGGATATAGTCCTCCCAGAGGGTCCACTGTCTTTCAGCTCTATGTGTTTGAATACACAGCTTTTTATATAGTCACAGTTCTCAGTCTTCTCCTTTTTTCCTTTTCCATTTTAAGTACTGTTTTAAAAGTGCTTCTCCATTGCTATATATGCACTAATATAGCTATATATGCACTAATATAGCTCTAGATTTCCTTTTTAGAAAAAAAAATTTGGGGGGGGCGCCTGGGTGGCTCAGTCGTTAAGCGTCTGCCTTCGGCTCAGGTCATGATCCTGGAGTCCTGGGATCGAGTCCCGCGTAGGGCTCCCTGCTCAGCAGGGAGTCTGCTTCTCCCTCTGACCCTCTTCCCTCTCGTGCTATCTCTCATTCTCTCTCTCTCAAATAAATAAAAATAAAATCTTAAAAAAAAAAGAAAAAAAATTTTTGTATTACAGCTTTGATATATAATCGATGAACAATAAAGTGCACTATTGGAAAATGTATGTGGATAAGGTCTGACGTATGTATACATGCCACACATACCTGTGAAATCATCAGCACAAACCACATAATGAACATACCCATCATCCCCAAAGTTTCCCCAGGCCCATTTGTAATCCGTTCCCAAATCCCACACTCTGCCCCACCTCTGTCCCCAGGCCACCACTGATCTGCTTTCAGTCACCATAGATTCATTTTCATTTCTAGAATTCTATATAAATGGAAACTGAAGTATGACTCTTTCTTTCTTGGTTTGGCTTCTTTCACTCAGTGTAATTATTTTGAGATTTCTTCTGTGTTGCAAGTATTGATTATTCATTCCTCTTTATTGATAAGTGATATTCCATTTATAGATACACCACAAATTATGATGCCCCAGTGGCACAATTGGTTAGTGCATGCTTACAGATATGCCACAAATTGTTTATTCATTCACCTATTAACGGACATTTGTGTACAGCCCTTTGTGTGCCTATATACTTTCATTTCTCTTGGGTTAATACCTCAGAGTGGAATGGTAGGCTCCTAGGGTAGGTGCCTGTTTAACTTCATAGGAAACTGCCAAATTCTTTTCCAGAGTGGTTTTACCATTTTGCGATTTTACCATCATTATATTATATATACATTCACCTACGCTTTTAAGATGCATGAGTTTAAACATATAGATACCTCTGATGGTTAGCAAACAGTAAAACTCAAGTTTCTCATTCAAATCCTCCCCAAGAGCAGGTTTTCCCAAAACTACTTCCTGAATAATCCATCCTTTACTCATTGATTATATAAACTTGGAAGTCTATTTCTGGACTCAAGATTTTGTTTCAATGATCACAAATAATGCAATATATGTTAAGAAAAAAAAAAAGAAGAAGATAGCAGGAGGGGAAGAATGAAGGGGAGTAAGTCGGAGGGGCAGACGAATCATTAGAGACGATGGACTCTGAAAAACAAACTGAGGGTTCTAGAGGGGAGGAGAGTGGGGGGATGGGTTAGCCTGGTGATGGGTATTAAAGAGGGCACGTTCTGCGTGGAGCACTGGGTGTTATGCACAAACAATGAATCATGGAACACTACATCAAAAACTAATGATGTAATGTATGGTGATTAACATAACAATAAAAAAATTAAAAAAAAAGATTTTGTTTCAATGATCAGTTTATTCCTGCCCGAGTAACACACTCATTTAGTAACTGAAACTCTACATTTTAATATCTGGCAGGGCATCTCCCCACACCACTCCCATTTATTTTTATTCATTAAAAATTTTTTTTCTAGGGGCGCCTGGGTGGCTCATTTGGTTAAGCGACTGCCTTCAGCTCAGATCATGATGCCGGGGTCCTGGGATCGAGCCCCACATCTGGCTCCTTGCTCAGTGGGGAGCCTGCTTCTCCCTCTCCCTGCTACTCCGCCTGCTTATGTTCTCTCTCTGTCAAATAAATAAATAAAAATTCTTTAAAAAAAAAAAACTTATAAAAAAAATTTTTTTTGAAAGTGGAATGGTGGTTGCCAGGGGCTGGGAGGATAAGGAAACAGGGACTTGTTCAATGGATGTAAAGTTTCCATGTTGTAAGATGAAGAAGTTCTAGAGATCTGTTGCACAACGATGTGAATATATGTAACACCATACACTTAAAAATGAGTAAGATGGGCGCCTGGGTGGCTCAGTCGTTAAGCGTCTGCCTTTGGCTCAGGTCATGATCCCAGGGTCCTGGGATCGAGTCCCACATCGGGCTCCCTGCTCGGCGGGAAACCTGCTTCTCCCTCTCCCACTCCCCCTGCTTGTGTTCCCTCTCTCACTGTCTCTCTCTCTCTGTTGAAAAATAAATAAAATCTTAAAAAAAAAAGAATAAGATGGTAAATTTTATGTTAAAAAGTTTTACTGTAACTAAAGATAAATAAACACATCCATTTTTTTTTTTAAACTATCTTTGTCAGGCACCTGGGTGGCTCAGTCAGTTAAGCCTCTGCCTTTAGCTCAGGTCATTGATCCCAGGGTCCTGGGATGGAGTCCCACATCGGGCTCCCTGCTCGGTGGGGAGCCTGCTTCCCCCCTTCCCTCTGCCTCTCTCCCTGCTCATGCTCCCTCCCTCTCAAATAAATAAAATCTAAAAAAATCCAAAAAACAAAAACTATCTTTGCTTATTTTTCTCATCTAAGCTACAACCTGAAGAGCAAGTAAAGAGATTCTATTTGCATTTTGCTTGGTGCCACGTTAACTGAGAAGGATCAACATCTTTATAATAAAAGTCTGCAATCCAGGAATATGATTCATTTCATCACTTTTTACAATATGCCTTCTCATAAAATTTCATAATTTTCTTCAAATAGATCTTAAACATTTCTGTTAAGTTTATCACCATATATTTTTTTACTTTTTTGCTTATTGTGAAATCATTTTTTTCTATTATAATTTCTGACTGGTTAATGCTAATATATGGTTGAAATTATTAACTTTTGTTTATTTATTTATTAAACCTACCATCTTCCTTAAGTCCCTTATTTTATTAGTAATTATTTTCCAGTTCATTCTCATGATAATTTCCAGGTACTTATGTCACCAAAAATTAAGGATAATGTTCTTTTTTTCAAATCTCTTCAAAGGGTATGTGCATTTTAATTTTTGAAAAGTATAGTCAAATTTTGAGAAGTGTGTATTCAATTATGTGGTGAAGTATGGAACAATAAAAAGCATAAATTTTTCCTATATAGCCAGGGTTTTATATGATAAGCATAAATTACATTTATAGGTAAAAAATTAAAGAAAAAGGGGGACTGAGGGTCACAACAGCAATCACGACTCATATCTGTACCACCAGTTTTGTGGTTTTGTTCAGGCACGTAAATGACAATGCACTACAAGACTTTTGAAAACTTTTGTTCAAAAAATGAAGATCCCTGAATGGAGATAAAGTCTCTAAGTTCACATGATATCTGTCCAAGTTTTCATTTCTGTCTCTCATTTGAAAAAAGGAAAAAGAGAGTTAAGATACAGAGTACTTACTTGTCAATGCACACTTTAATTTTAAGCTGATAATTTAACTCGGGGAATTTGACCAGCAATCTGTTTCAAAAAACGGAAAAAGAAAAGTTTTTGAGTAAAGAAAAAAATATCAGTTAAAAAAAAAAAGTCAGCAGGCTCCCCCAAGCAACTCCAACTTGAAGGAATATAAACTTCACAATGCTTTCTTTCTAAAAGGTGAATAAAGCACAATCCCAAATTCCTCTTCCTGCCAGTGCGTCTTTGACCTAAAGTTGAGTATCACCCCTTCAGGCCAAGAGGTACTGAAGGAAAGCCTAAGAACCTCGAACTTGGACAAAGTTGTGAGAGATTCACAAAAGGATAATAAAAGTCGTTTCATGAGAAATATTACGGGAATATGCGCTCTGCAGCTGGTATTCTTTCTGTTAAACCTGAAACCTCACACCAGGTTTCTGAGGGAAATTTCACTGCAGAAGGGCAAACCCCAACATACCTGCTCTGACTTGGGTGTAAAAGTCACACCCCGCCCTGCAAGGCCCACCACCCACCTGCTCCATGGCCTCTTAGCTTCCGTACTCGAAGCCTTACTTTTTCCCTTAAAATCCTTATGGAAAAGTACGCTCAAAGAACAGAAAATTACCAGCGTTATTTTGCCTCCGTTGCAGGGCAGAAAGAGACACAAAGGCCTAAGACTATAGGGCTGAAATTATAGGAATTTGCCCAGGTAACCTCAAAAAGAGGTAACCATTCCTTGGCTTTTGACAAGGAGCAAGCTGATATTATGCCAACATATGCCATACCCACCATAGTACTACTTGTCATGCACAGAAAGAACAATCCTGGCCACCAACTCTGCTCTCGTCCTAAGAGCGTCTCTCAATAAAATATCTACCAAAAGAGCAAGTGCGGGGCCCACCTGACTTTGGTAGTGAACTGGACTCCAGTCTTGATGACTAACGGCCGGTCGGGATGCATGGGCATGCAGGGCTGCCGCTCCACCACGAAGGCACTGAAAGCAAAGAGAGGGACAGCAGTCCACACACTTCTCGGTGAACTGGTCTTTGTCCTGTGCCTCTGAAGCGAGGGGATGAGGGAAAGGAACCAGAATTCTAAGTTACCTTTTCATTAAGTTTCTAAACAGCTCTACAATCCTCTCCTCCAGCATTGGCCGGTGCTGTACAATGGGATCCCCTTTGTAGGACACTTTTTGCTGCAACTCCTCCAGTTTTTTAATTTGTTGGCGGGTCTGAAGTTGAGATTCTGCTAATGAGGTTATCCTGCCAATAAAATAAGAAAGCCACTAGTTACCTCAGTGAGTGCACACCAATAAGCTGGAGAAGGGGCAGGGAACCCCACAGATGTAAACACCACCATGTAGTCCCCTAAAATAAGAAAGGGGAATTTTTTTTTATTGTGGTAAAATATACATTACGTAAAACTGATCATTTGTAAGTATATAATTCAGTGGTATTAAATAAGAAAAAGTGGGGTGGCTCAGTAAGTAGAGCATGTGACTCCTGATCTCGGGGTCATGAGTTCAAGCCCCATGTTGGGCATAGAGCTGACTAAAAAAAAAAAAATAAGAAAAAGGGAGGGTGTCTGGGTGGCTCAGTTGGTTAAGTAACTGCCTTCGGTTCAGGTCCTGATCCCGGGGGCCTGGGATCAAGTCCCACTTCAGGCTCCCCCTGCTCTACAGGGAGCCTGCTTCTCCCTCTCCCTCTGCCTGCCACTCCCCCTGCTTGTGCTGTCTCTCTCTCTCTCTGCCAAATAAATAAAATCTTTAAAAAAAAAATAAGAAAAAGGGAATCTATCAAAAACTAATGATGTAATGTATGGTGGTTAACATAACAATAAAAAAAATTATTATTTTAAAAAAAAAAGAAAAAGGGAATCTATTTTGTTTTTAAAAAATAGTCCCTTTCTAAAATTTAACATTCAAAGACAGAGCTAGGCATAGAGGAAAAAGTGTTAAAACTTTTACCCCAAAGAAGGGACTGGGTGGCTTAGTTGGTTAAGCATCTGACTTCGGCTCAGGTCATGATCTCAGAGTCCTGGGATGGAGTCTTGCATTGCACTCCCTGATCAGCAGGGACTCTGCTTCTCCCTCTCCCTCTGCTCCATCCCCCCCAAATAAATAAAATCTTAAAAAAAAAAAAAAATGTGTTTTTAAAAAAGCACTTAAAACTGCTTTCAGTGAATTAACAAAATTCAGGGTTAGTGAGGATGTGAACAAATAGGCTTTCTCATGTAGGGCCGTCCTAAATTTCCAATTTCATGCTCTACATGCTGGGTGCCCCTTTATGTCAAGTTTCTCATAGTTTAAGCTGGTGCATCATGGGCATTGGTTGGGCTTTGCATGTCAAGAATGCTCACTAAGGGGGCGCCTGGGTGGCTCAGTTGGTTAAGCGACTGCCTTCGGCTCAGGTCATGATCCTGGAGTCCCAGGATCCAGTCCCGCATCGGGCTCCCTGCTCAGCAGGGAGTCTGCTTCTCCCTCTGCCCCTCCCCCCTCTCATGTGCTCTCTCTCTCATTCTCTCTCTCAAATAAATAAAATCTTTAAAAAAAAAAAAGAATGCTCACTAAGGACCTGCTGCATGAATGAAAGCAAAAGAGCAGATAAAGAATGATCCCACTGATGTGAAAATGTAGAGATGATGATCTTTTTTTTTTTAAGATTTAATTTATTTGAGAGAGAGAGTGCACATGCACTGGGGGTGACGGGGGCAGAAGGACAGGGACAAGCCAACTCAGCACTGAGCACACAGCCCAACATGGGGCTTGATCTCATGACCCTGAGATCAGGACCTGAACCGAAATCAAGAGTCAGACGCTTAACCAACTGAGCCATCCAGGCACCCCTAGAGATGACAATCTTTATGTACATATGTACAACAGCTGATGGCTAGAGGGACGGCCATCGAAATTCTAGCTGTAGGGACCTCTGAATGATTGGTTTTTAAAAGACTTTTCTTCTCTTTATTAATTTTCTGTGTATGAACTTTTTTCCCTTATAAAAAGCATGTCTCATTTTAGATTATTAGAACAACTAAATTCAAACTTTGGTTTGGGCTACGTAGTTAAACCAAAAGCTTTATTTAAATTATTAAATAAAACAGGGGCGGCTGGGTGGCTCAGTCAGTTGGGTGTCCGACTCTTGGTCTCAGCTCAGGTTGTAATCTTGCAGGCATGGGGCTCTGCACTCAGCATGGAGTCAGCTTTGAATTCTCTCTCTCTCTCTTCCTCTGCCGTTCCCTCCACGTGCTTGCTCTCTCTCAAATAAATAAAACATATTTAAAATACAGCAACATAAACCAATTTTTATTAACAAATTGTCCAAATAAAGTAAAACTCTTCAGACTTTAACTCTTAGACTTGTTTTTTCTTAAGATTTTATTTATTTATTTCAGAGAGAGAGAGAGTGTAAGCGCACACAAGCAGGGGGAGGGGCAGAGGGAGAAGGAGAGACAGAAGCAGATGCCCCACCGAGTAGGGAGCCCAACTCGGGGCTCGATCCTAGGACCCTGCGATCAGGACCTGAGCCAAAGGCAGACCCTTCACTGACTAAGCCACCCCGGTGTCCCTAGGCTTAATGTGAGTACATCAAAGTCTGCATCTGTGGGATGGACTCCAACTCCTGAGTCTGCCGTTATGACCGTAATTTTAGCACAGCATTCTAGAAAGAAAGGAAACTCTCCTCCGTCATCTTTTACCAGTTTTCTAGGCGATCTAGGCAGATGTTGGGAGGGCCTCCAATGCACGCAATCTGTTGCCGCCTCTTCCAGTCAGCCAGCTCTTCGTCGGTGAGCGTTTTCTGCACATACTCCATCGCTGACAACAGCCCCGCCAACTCACTCACGATGTTCTGGTTGGAAACCCAAACAAAGAAAATATTTCCTTAGACCATCTCTAACCACACTCTTTAGTCAATTCCAGAGAAGGAACTTATTAGACGCCAGGCAAGTTCTGCCAGGAGATGCCGTGACCATGCAGGTGCGGGGGGGGGGGGGGAAGGGGCGGGCAGGGGAAGCGGTCGGATGCCCTTACGCGCCGCATCTGGTCCAGCGCGGTGAGCATCTGCTCCAGCTGCTGCATCTTCTGCCTGGTCACTGACTGGTTGTTCCCATTCAGATCCGGCATGTCTGTGGGTGAAGGAAAACCCCCTTGACCCGATGGAATACTCAGATCCTCAACAGCTGCGCTCGCATAAGCACCAGGAGCCCCCGTGCACCACCTCCGCCCCGCCCCCCGCCACAAACTCAGAGCAGACGCGAAATATGGAAGTCCGGGAACTCAGGTAACAACCTCACTTTCTACAACAGATTTTAATGTCTCTAATAGTCACTTGCCTCCTTGACTCTTGAGGGTTTTATAGTTGAAATCAAAGTCATCCTGGAGATTCTCGACCACTTTCATTTTCTGTTCTAGATCCTGTTTAAAATGAACACACAAACCAAACCAAACCAAAACAAAAAGACAGAAGTGAGCAAGATTTTCCTGGGAAGGGGGAAAGGAAAGTTTCTGAGAATTAAAATGAAGCCAAAACCTCAAAAAAGACACATGCAGGACCCACAGGCAATGTCCCCAAGGAAAGGCTTCCTGCCCAAGACTTGCTTCACCTGTACTCGCTTCCGAACATCCTGTAGGTGCTGCTCCAGCATCTGCTGCTTCTCCGTCACCACGGCGGCTGTGGGGTGGTTGGCCTGGCCCCCTTGCTGCCAGAAAAGGGAATCAACACACATGTGAATGCAGGAAGTACGGGGAGAAAAATACCTCTGTCCAGTTGCCCATCCCATCCACCACCCTTCCTGTTTGGCTGAGGTGCTGCTGCCACTGGGCGGGGAAGGGAAACAGAGGCACTGTTCCAGGTGTTGTCAGCATGGTGCAACCACTCTCCCCAAGTTTGGCCTGTGCCCTTGCCTTTTTACCTTAGGCCAACTCTAAAGCCACTCTGGGTTGCACTAGGGGACCACATGGGGAGCTAAGACATGGTCCCTACCTTCGAAAACCTCATTATAGGTTAAGTACGTTAAAAAATTCAGAACTGGGGCGCCTGGGTGGCTCAGTCAGTTAAGCGTCTGCTTCCAGCTCAGGTCATGATCTCCAGGTCCTGGGATCGAGCCCCGCATCGGGCTCCCTGCTTGGCAGGGAGTCTGCTGCTCCCTCTGCCTCTGTCCCTCCCCCGTGGCTCGTGCTCTCTCGTGCTCTCTTCAAATGAATAAATAAAATCTTTTTTTAAAAAATCAGAACAGGGCGCCTGGGTGGCTCAGTTGGTTGGGCGGCTGCCTTCGGCTCGGGTCATGGTCCTGGAGTCCCGGGATTGGGTCCCGCGTCGGGCTCCCTGCTCGGCGGGGAGTCTGCTTCTCCCTCTGACCCTCTTCCCTCTCATGCTCTCTATCTCTCATTCTCTCTCTCAAATAAATAAATAAAATCTTAAAAAAAAATCAGAACAGGGGCGCCTGGGTGGCTCAGTCGTTAAGCATCTACCTTTGGCTCAGGTCATGGTCCCAGGGTCCTGGGATCGAGCCCCACATCTGGCTCCCTGCTCAGTGGGGAGCCTGCTTCTCCCTCTCCCACTCCCCCTCCTTGTGTTCCCTCTCTCGCTGTGTCTCTCTGTGTCAAATAAATAAATAAAATATTTAAAAAAAAATTTCAGAACAGTTATGATAGCAGATCTTGGATGCCTATTTAGTATAGGTGGTATCCAACACATTTCTGTGGTGTAATAAAAAACCACTGTCCCAGAGGTGAAATGCCATAAGAAGAGAGAACACCTCACAGGAGAAGGGGAGGCTGGTACCTTGAAAAGGTTAAATAGCACATGAAATGTGAACATGGTAAATTTTGTCAAAGTAGTAGGATATCTGGGGCACGTGGCTGCCTTAGTTGGAGGAGCTTGTGGCTCTTGATCTCAGGGTGGTGGGTTCAAGCCCCACACTGGGTACAGACTACTTAGAATGAATAAATCAATAAAAACTTCAAAAAAAAAAAAAAAAGGAATAAGATACCTGACCCCCAAAAAAGACCACATGGGGTGCCTGGGTAGCTCAGTCTGATAAGCGGCCAACTCTTTTTTTTTTTTTTTTTTTTAATAATTTTTTTATTGTTAACCACCATACCAGCCAACTCTTGATTTCAGCTCAGGTCATGATCTCAGGGTTGTGGGATCGAGCCCCACGTTGGGCTCTGTGCTCAGTGGGGAATGTGCTAGAGATTCTCTCCCTTTCCTGCTGTCCCTCCCCCTGCTTAAGTGCTTACCCTCTCTCTCTCAAATAAATAAATAAATAAATATTTTTATTTTATTTTTTTAAGATTTTATTTATTTGAGAGAGAGAGAGAAAACAAGCAGGGAGGAGGGGCAGAGGGAGAAGGAGAAGCAAGCCAGACTTCCCGCTGAGCAAGGAGCCTGACATCATGACCTGAGCTGAAAGCAACACTTAACCGAATGAGCCACCCGGATGCCCCCTAAATAAATCTTTTAAAAAGAAAAAAGCTGCAGTGATCAAGACAGTGAATATTGGTACAGGACCGAGGTATCAACCAATGGAACAAAACTGAAAGTCCAGGAAAGACATCATAGACCCAGTTTTCCAAACTAGAAATTCTCAGTCTCAAAGACAGACTTCACACTGATTCACCAAATCCTCCTGGCTCTGTGCTCTGTAATCACGCACACAGATCTCTAGCTCCACCGGCTCGGCTCAAGCCCCAACTATTGATCTCTTTGCCTCTATAGTCTCTCTCATTTCCAGTCTGTTCCCTACACTGCCACCAGGAGTCTCCAAAATAGACCCACACATGCCAGCTCTATGGAGACCCATTCTCTCCTTTTCCAGCGGTCCCCATCCAAGTCCACAGAACACAAACCTCCCCGAGAAGTTTAGGGAAGCCAACCACCACCCCGATTTATTCTCTTCACAGGGGGAGTGACTCATCTGATCAGTGAGATTAGGAGAAAGACTCTGCATGCAGAGATCTCCGAAGAACCTAGCACTTTAGCTGGTGCCTCTCTCCTCCACCCCTGCCTTCCTGGGGCACACCCAGGGCAGGAGTGAGGGCCTGGTTTCTAGAAGCACTTCTAGAGACCGCTTGCTCTGTGTTCAGTGGGCATTCATCTCTGGTCTCTGAAGCTCCATACGGATGGCTGGGGACGTGTTGCTCTGCAAACCTAATCTCTCCACCCCCAGATCTAACACAGGGGCAGGCATCAGAAATCCCCAATGGTTACCTGCCAAAGCATGTTTTCCAGTCTTGTTTTACCAACAATACAGCTGACAGTTTACTGTTTTCGACTGCCATGTCTATTTCTAAATTGGTATTGCACTTAAAGGGGAACAGACCTGGTTCACTGCCACCCACAGAAGCCCACCTCTAGTACCTTCGTAAAAACCTACTGGCTCCCACTGCTCCCAGGGATATACCTCTCAACCCAGCACCAACCGATGCTTCACGCAATCTGATGACAAGTGAAGCCTTCCTCCCTGTGTTCCAGTCACCCCCAAACTACCCACTCTTCCCCACATACAGCGTGCTCCCCACACACCGTCCACTCAGCCTGGCATGCACTTCTGCCCAAGCACAGCCCAACTCCTTCACCTTCAAACTCAGTGCAACCATTAGCTCTCCTATAAAACCTTATTCAACTTCTGTAGGCAAAATTATTCACATCTTCCTCTGTGTTTCTCTCACTTTGAGTGTTTGTCTACCTATTGTCCCAACTAGACTGACAGCCCTGCTTGGCAGGGCTCACATCTACTTGTCTTCCTAGCTCCTGGTGCTCGACCCATAAAAGACACTTAAGAATATGCCAGAAGGGGCGCCTGGGTGGCTCAGTCGTTAAGCGTCTGCCTTCAGCTCAGGTCATGATCCCAGGGTCCTGGGATCGAGTCCCCCATCAGGCTCCCTGCTCAGTAGGAAGCCTGTTTCTCCCTCTCCCTCTGCCCCTGCTTGTGTTCCCTCTCTCGCTGTGTCTCTCTGTCAAATAAATAAATAAAATCTTAAAAAAAATAAAAAAGAATATGCCAGATGATGTAAACAGAGAAAATAACAGAAAGGCCTGGGTTGAGGCCTCAAGGATCCGATTTGTAGTTCTAGATCAAGGGCCGCAAACTTTCCCTATGAAAGCCGGGTGGTAAATATTTTTGGCTTTGTGGGTCATCCAGTCTCTGTTGTAAATACTCAGCTCTGTCACTGCAGCACTCAAGCAACCACAGACAACATGTACATAAAGGGGTGGGGCTGTGTTCCCCAAAATTTCATTTACAAAACAGGCATGGCAAGCTGGACTGGGGCCACAAGGACTGTTTGCCAACCCCGGGTCTGTAGGATTGGGAATATCCGTAGGGCACTTACTGCTCCCTTGCCTCTTATTAGAAATTTGGGAGCCTCTACCCAAATTGGCTTAAATTGAATATTTTTATCTTATGGGACAGGATGAACACATTATGGTTCTCCAGGACAGAAAACTCCAGTGATGCAGGGGTGAGTGGCTCTCTGCTAACCTCCCCGTCTCCAGTGTCTCAAACAGTGAGTGTTCTCAGTTCCCCTTCACCCATATCTGAGCACATCAGTGTTCTGCTGAAAGTTCCTCAGTGGGTTCTCATTTCTTACAGTCGTGGTGATGGGGACAATGATGTGACAGTGATCATGACAGCAGGAGCAGAGAGCAGTTAATGTTTACTTGGCAGGTACGTGGCAGGCACCATTACGTAGTTCTACGAAGTAGGTACTGTCATCATTCCCATGGGAGGCACATTCCCACAGCCTGAGGTTATACAGCAAGGGGCACAGCTGTGAGGCTCAAACCCAGGCAGTCTGGCCCCCCGACCCTTGTGGTAAACTGCTCTTCCAAAGCCCAGCTGCTGGGCATGACTAACTAAAGAGGTGTTCACAATAGGGCCCTTGACCTTTCCTTATCCAACCAGATGCTGAATTTTCCACAACTCCTCCCAACAATATATGATTAATGTTTCCCTGTCTGAATACGATCTTCTCTCTGCCTGGCCATGCTCTCTCCTCATCAGCCTGGTGTACTTGTCATCAGCCTTAAGTCTTGGCTCAGACACAATCTCTTCTCTCTCTGTGATACCTTCCCTGACTCCCTCAGTTAGACTTAGCTTCTTTTATGTTCCTGCTACATCTTTGTCTTGTAAGGGAAAAAACTGTACACTTCTGTTCATAGCAGCATTATTCACAATAGCCAAAAGGTGGATACCACCCAAGTGTCCCTCAACAGATGAATGCGTAAACAAAATGTGGTCTATGTACCACAATAATGTACAACATTATTTAGCTTTTGAAAAGCAGGAAATGCTTCTTTTTTTTTTTATAAATTTTTTTAAAGATTTTTTTATTTATTTGAGAGAGAGAGAATGAGAGATAGAGAGCATGAGAAGGAAGAGGGTCAGAGGGAGAAGCAGACTCCCCGCTGAGCAGGGAGCCCGATGCGGGACTCGATCCCGGGACTCCAGGATCATGACCTGAGCCGAAGGCAGTCGCTTAACCAACTGGGCCACCCAGGTGTCCCTAAAAAAGCAGGAAATTCTGACACGTGTCACAACAAGGATGAACTGTAAAGAATTATTATGGTACGCGAAGCTCTAGATGTCCTAGATAGATATGTTTATCATGTATCAATATAAGTGATATGTCTTTCATATATCAACAGAAGTGATGAAAGTAGCATCGAACTGTTCCTCAATGGGCCAGTTAAGTGTCATGTTATCTCCCTTCCCTAAGCTAACTGTATCTCTAACTCTAGTGAGTGTATTCTCAAACTTAACCCCAAAAGAGAAATGCATATGAGCCTGAATGATTCAACCCCAAAGTATCTCCAAGGTGGCACCCAAGAAGAGTACATTATCATACCCCACTGGTGCAAATGTGAACTGTTACAGCCTTTGGGGAAAGGAATCTAGATCTATAAAATTAAAATATATACACCCTTTGACGTAGTGATTCCATGCCTAGAAATCTATCATAGAGAAATCAAAGCACAAATATATAAAGTTGTAAAGGGAGACATTGCAGTAGTGTTTATAAGGGGGGGGAAAAAAACAACCCAGAATGAAGCAAATGTCTATCAAAGAGAGAATAACTGAATACATTACAGCAAATCCACACCATGGAATATTATGCAGCAAATAAAGAAAATGACTTAGCTTTATACTACCTGACTTAGAAGGATTTACATGATATAATATTAAATGAAAAAAGCAAGATGCAGAGAAGCACACCCATTTAAATATGGTGTGTGTGTGTGTGTGTGTGTGTGTGTATTTTCTGTAGTTTATATGAGCCTGGAGAAAGGTATGGAAGGATATACACCAGACTATTCATGTTGGTTTTTTGGGAAGAGATAATAAAGAGAGGGAGTGACATTTCAGATTTTTGTAAAACTTTCTTCCTTATACTATTGTGTCAAATTTTATTTTATTTTTTTTTAAGGAGAGTGCATTATGTACTCAAGAAAAAAACAAAACAATTATTTTCATTGTTTAAAAGAAAAAAACCTGAAACATCCACTTCTACCACAGAGGTCGGTACACACCCTAATGACCGTGTAAGAGCAAGCACGTCTCTGGACACAAGAAGGAAAGTGCGTCTTCAGTGGTGCTTTGTTTCTTCCCATGTCTCACCTGGGCCGCAGTGGCTGCAGTTTGGAGCAGGCGGGACTCTTCCCACAGGCACCGGGCCACGATTCGGGCAATCTCCATTGGCTTCTCCAGGTATCTGCTCTATAAGTTGGAGAGAGAGAATGAAAAGTAGCAGTAGACTAAGGAGACATGGACCCAGAGTATTACATCTACTACATGAAACAATGAAATGAGGGCCTCAGAACCTGACTACCACCGGTGGGAGATGGAGGGGAGAACAGAAAAAAATCACATGAGCTGTACTTCTGTGACAGAAGGCAACGTTAGTCTGAGTCTTTGGACAGTATGTTATCCTTATGTGGAGGTGACAGACCTTGTCCCAGAGTATCCAATTACGGTCAAACATTTAACATTCAAAAATAAGTCATCTGGGGCATCTGGGTGGCTCAGTCAGTTGGGTGTCTGACTCTTGATTTCGGCTCAGGTCATGATCTCAGGGTCGTGAGATCGAGTCCCAAGTCGGGCTCCATGCTGGGTGTGGAGCCTGCTTAAGATTCTCTCTCTCTCGGGGTGCCTGGGTGGCTCAGTCATTAAGCAACTGCCTTCGGCTCAGGTTCTGATCCCAGGGTCCTGGGATTGAGCCCCGCATCGGGCTCCCTGCTCAGCGGGAGGCCTGCTTCTCCCTCTCCCACTCCCCCTGCTTGTGTTCCCTCTCTCGCTGTGTCTCTCTGTGTCAAATAAATAAATAAAATCTTTAAAAAAAAAAAAAAAAGATTCTCTCTCTCTCCCTCTGTCCCTTTCACCCCCCTTCCTTTCTAAAAAAAATAAAAATAAAAATAGCAAAGTAAGTCATCTTCCTATGAAACCACTAGTTCTGATCATGTTATTAACATGTCAACGTAATAGGATTAATGTAACAATTATGTGATTACTCCAGTGGACAAAAGAAGTGGATTTCAGATAATGATGCTCAAGGATGGGTATACAGAGGTTTGAGGAAGGGCTAATAATTTCTCCTTTGATTTAAAGTACAAGATAGGATCTCATTACCTAGGCAAATGAGAAAAGAAATATTTCCTGGACAGAAAGCTAACACCCTACTCTGCAGGGGCAGTCTCTCATCCCACCTGAAGGAACTGCTTGATTCTCCGTAGATTGTGCTGATAGAGAACATTTGACTCCTGTAGGAAACGGCTGTACTGCTGGTCAATCTCACCCAAGAGATTATGAAACACCAAAGTCGCATGTGATTCTTTGCTGGCTGCATATGCCCTAGGAAAAGGAAGAAGGATACAGAACGATTCTGAAACCTACACACATCGGCATATGCGCACACGCACGCGTAGAAATCACCATCAAGGAGGGAAGAAAACAAGACAAACCTGATGCTTTAACCCACCCATCACTTTAGATTCACCTTCCTCAGCAATACGAAATATCATGAATTCAATGATTATTAACAATTATTCCAGATACTCTTAGCCACTGCCATAGTCTCTAGTTATAAAATATTCAAGTGAAGCAGATATGCTGTTTTGCTTTTAAATTCTCAGTCAGTCTGCAGTCAGATTATTAGTAGCAAATAAGCAAACCCAGGCTGGGATGGCCCATGTCCATCATCTCTGACTCACCTCCCTGGCCCCTTACCAAATTCTAGAAAAACTAGGTCATAGGCCTGCATTAAATGAAAATTAATAGGTGGATCTGAACACATTAAAATGAAGGGAAAAAAGGGGCGCTCTTGGTTTCGACTCAGGTCATGATCCCAGGGTTGTGAGATGGAGCCCATGTCAGTTCTGCACTGGGCGTGGAGCCTGCTTAAAATTCTCTCTCTCCCTCTCCCACTGCCTGTTCCCTGCTCTCTCTCTCTAAGAAAGAAGGGGGAAAAGTGAAGGAAATGGTCCTTGGAATTCTGGGCCATTATCTCCTCTACGAACAAGTCTATTTCTCTTACTCTGTGTCCCCTTCCTTTAATTAAAGGGGAATCAGAATTATGGACCCAAATCTCTACCCATGAGAGAACTCTCATTGAGATAAAAAATATTGGTAGCACATCCCTGGAGTGTCAGAACACACAGAGGATCTCGCCAAGGAAACGAGATCCAAATCAGCCTTCAAAACATCTACCACCGGGGCGCCTGGGTGGCTCAGTCGTTAAGCGTCTGCCTTCGGCTCAGGTCATGATCCCAGGGTCCTAGGATTGAGCCCCGCATCGGGCTCCCTGCTCAGCGGGAAGCCTGCTTCTCCCTCTCCCACTCCCCCTGCTTGTGTTCCTGCTCTTGCTGTCTCTGTCTCTGTCTCTGTCAAAACAAAAACAAGTATCTACCACCAAGCAGGCTGCTGTTCCAGGTGCCAAAAGACAGTTGCCCGCACACACTTCTACTGTAGAAAACGTTTCCACGAGACTGAGAGTACCTCTTTATCTCCTGATCTCTTTCACCCCATCCCCTATACCCATAAGTTTTTTGATGAAATAGCACAGAGTTAAGCTAGAACAGGTTATGTCTCTTGACTTAAACCAAAACCTGACACTTTGGGGAGTTTCTCAGGAAGGACTTACCAGTCTTGACTCTCAATCCAAGGGGCCAGAAACTGTCGCAGCTCCATCGGGAAGCTGTCACTATACAGCTGATGAAGCTGCTCCAGGTACCTCGTGTCGAGCTGCTGTAGCTGATTCCATTGGGCCATCCTGTGGCAATCGGGGTCCCAACTGCAAACCAAAGTGTCCATATGGTCACTGTGAGCCTTAGTAGGAGGAAACAAGCTACAAACACCCCATCTACCCAACACAGGCATCAGGTCTGTGATTAGGGATAAAAGATGCTTGGGACAGGATCCTGTGTTTCTCCTAGTTGACAACAATACAAGACACATCCACAGTCTCTGCCTCTGGAAGCACATCACACAGCTTCTCCTCCACTGGGATGCCAATGTGGACGTGGCATCTGCCAAGTTCCAGGATCCATTATCTACCAGATGTATGTGAAGTTGAAAAATAATTTAACTTCCAGATTTCCACTTCCTCATCTCTAAAATAGAGATCATCATTCCCATCTCTCGTGGCTGTTGAGATATTTCTAAAGAACTCAGCACAGTACAGGGCATACAACAGATGCTCAACAAATGTCAACTCCTTTCTTTCCACCCTACCCCCCTTCTAAGAGGGTGAACTGGAAGGTATAGATAACAAACCTAAAGTAAGACCAAAAGGTGGGATGTGGCTGTTTAGGGAAGACAGAGCTAATTCTAAGAATTCAGGTTTAAGCGCATAAGCAAGGACCTGCCTGGGATTCTCCCACTCAGTGAAAAGCAATTTTTTTTTAAGATTTTATTTATTTATTTGAGAGACAGAGTGAGAGAGAGAGAGCACATGAGAGGGGGGAGGGTCAGAGGGAGAAGCAGACTCCCCGCCGAGCAGGGAGCCGGATGCGGGATTCGATCCTGGGACCCCAGGATCATGACGTGAGCCGAAGGCAGTCGCTTAACCAACTGAGCCACCCAGGCACCCAAAAGCAATTTTGTTTTTAAAAGTTCTCAGTTGGGGGGCGCCTGGGTGGCTCAGTCTTTGAGCGTCTGCCTTCGGCTCAGGTCATGATCCTAGGCTCTTGGGATCGAGCCCGACATCGGGCTCCCTGCTCAGCAGGAAGCCTGCTTCTCCCTCTCCCACTCCCCCTGCTTGTGTTCCCTCTCTCACTGTCAAATAAATAAATAAATAAATAATCTTTATTATTATTATTATTATTTTAAGATTTTATCTATTTGACAGAGAGAGCGAGAGAGTACAAGTAGGGGGAACAGTAGAGGGAGAGGGAGAAGCAGGCTCCCCGCCAAGCAGGGAGCCTGATGTGGGGCTCGATCCCAGGACACTAGGATCATGACCTGAGCCAAAGGGAGATGCTTAACCATCTGAGCCACCCAGGCGCCCCTAAATAAATAATCTTTAAAAGTTCTCGGGGATGAGAAAGAAGAGAAGCTAAATACCAGTCCTACAAGTTGTCCCAAAGCTCACAAATACCCCAGAGAAATGCTGGTTTCTCTGATCACCTTTCCTCTTCTTTCTGAATAGCTTGGTCACAGAAATATCAATACAGACCAAGCAGTCAGAAGAACTTGTCAAAATAACTAAGAGTAATAGCCAAAGACTAATATATGTACAGATCAAAGTATCCAGAGATGATTCTCTGGGATTGTGAGAACACTGAATGAAAGACTGAATGCACACAAACACATACACTTATCTAGAGTTCTTGATTTATTTCTCAGAGAAGGTGCGAAGAGGCACCCTCATAACTGCTCCTTTCATAAAAAGTATGGAGCAAACTGGTGACAAAACCAGCAGGCCTTCTGTTCTCAAAGCAGCAAGTGTAATGGCAGCTAAGTGGTTCAGGATCAGGTTTTCATACACAACCCTGTGCTGTAGGTCTCCCTCGTCCTATGTGGGGACACACACAGAAGACCCTGCCTGTCGCTGCAAAGGTGCCATCACTTGGCCGAGCTCTCACGTACACGTTCAGGAAGGCACAGGCAGTACCTTCCCAGTGGTCTTTTACACCGAATAATGAACAACCTAAGGCAGCAACTATCCAACAGAGATGTAATGCAAGCCACGTACAGAATCTTAAATTTTCAAGTAGCCATATTAAAAAACTAAAAGGAAACAAGTAAATTAATTTTAATGACATATTTTACCTAACCCAATATATCTAAAAATGGGGCACCTGGCTGGCTCAGTCAGTAGAGCATGCAATTCTTGATCTTGGGTTCACGAGTTCAAGCCCCACGTGGGGCATGGAGCTTACTTTAAAAAATAATAATAAAATAAAGCTTAAAATACTTAAATATAATGTTATCTCCTCAACATGTAATTGCACAAAAATTAATGAGATACTTTACATTCTTCTTTTGGTACTAAGTTCTCTAAATCCAGTGTGCACTTTTACACTTACAGCACAGATCTGAGGCATTTCCCTCCTCATGGGCTTAAATTGCACTGGTGAAAAAGTTCAATAAAGTTGGGCGCCTGGGTGGCTCAGCTGGTTAAGCATCTGCCTTTGGCTCAGGTCATGATCCCAGGGTCCTGGGATCGAGTCCCACATCGGGCTCCCTGCTCTGCGGGGAGTTTGCTTCTCCCTCTGCCCCTCCCCCCAGTCGTGCACACTCTCAAATAAATAAATAAAATCTTTTTTAGAAGTCCGATAAAGCAAAGAAATGAGAATGTCAGAATGAGGTATTTGCCCCCCTCAGACCAATGTTTCCATAAATAAACTAAGCCTTCCAACATTAGAGGTGGTACTTGGGTTTTTTTTTAAAACAATGTCTTCCTTCCTCTTAGGCACCTCCCAAACATTTTCAGCTACCACATCTTTGCTGTTGCACCTGTCCTCACTACCCCCAAGACCAACCTGCCCCAGGAAAGATGCTGCTTGGGCAGTGAGTGGTACATGTATACTAAACACTGGCTGGAATGAAAGTGGTAGCTGAGGCATTATAATCATGGTGTGTATTACCTCAATAAGAAATCAGAGGCCGGGACACCTGGGTGGCTCAGTTGGTTGAGGGTCTGCCTTCAGCTTGGGTCATGATCCCAGGGTCCTGGGATCGAGTCCCACATCGGGCTCCTTGCTCAGCGGGGAGCCTGCTTCTCCCTTTCCCTCTGCCTGCCGCCCCCCAACCCCCTGCCGCTTGTGCTCTCCTCTCTCTGACAAATAAATAAATAAAATCTTAAAAAAAAAACCCAAAGGCCACTAGAACTCTCTTACAATATGCACATTAAGGCCAAGTTAAAATCTGCCTCAAGGCTAGAAGTATGAAGATCCACCTTACTTTTCTCAGGATGTGATCCGCATAGAAATCTATATAACATGTCAATGTATTTAGATGCTACTGCATACAAATATGCCCCAACTCTAGACCTACATAATTCAACATGGTAATCACTAGCCATATGTGACTACTGAGCACTTGAAATATGGCTGGTTCAAACTGAGACATGCTGTAAGTGTAAAGTATACACTGGATTTTGAAGACTTAGCACACACACAAAAAGAATGTAAAATATCTCATTAACATTGAAATGATATCTTAGATATACTGAGTTAAATAAAATATATTATTCAAATTAATTTCACTCAATTCTTTTTACTTCTTCTAACGTGGCTACTAGAAAATTTAACATTACGTATGTGACTTGCTTTCTGTTTTTTTGGACACTGCCTCTCTTATGTAACCAAAAGCTATGATTCTCCTAATAAAGGATTTAAAGAAAGATATACCTACTTTTTTTTTTTAAGTACACTCTACCTGCAACGTGGGGCTCAAACTCAAAACCCCAAGATCAAGAGTCATATGGTCCACCAAAGGCCGGCCAGGCACCCCTAGATGCCTACTTTTTATAATAAAGTCCAGTGTTATATATTAATAAAAAAATAGACTAGTTATTTAATTGCTTATCTTGGATACAAATGTAGAACCATCACAATCCACTCCCTGAAGTTCCACGTTAGAACCATAAAGCAACATCCCACTACACCTGTTCAACTAGAGATGAACATTGGGGTCACACACGAATATATGCATTTTCAAACCAATAAAAAATTACAAGTTGTTGAAAATTGTCTAATTCATTTCTAGTCCATAACTCAGAGGGGTTTTCTGTTGTCGTTTTGGTTTTAGTTGGGGCGGGGGGACAACACAAAGGGGATAGTAAGTAGTATAATTTTGTCATTTTTTTTTAAGATTTTATTTATTTATTTGACAGAGAGAGACACAGCGAGAGAGGGAACACAAGCAAGGGGAGTGGGAGGGGGGGAAGCAGGCTTCCCGCGGAGCAGGGAGCCCGACGCAGGACTCAATCCCAGGACCCTGAGATCATGACCTAAGCTGAAGGCAGGGGCTTAACGACTGAGACACACAGGCGCCCCAATTTTGTCATTTCTTAAACCAGAAACCAGTTACTAGTTTTTCTGTAAAATTAAAGTACCAAAAACGACTGGCATTATGCTCTATTTCCTAGTCTAATCACTGTAGGTAACATTGTAATAGCTATCCTATATTTTAAAGAAATCATTGCAAATTAAAGCCAAAAGGCAGGTAGCATTCTCAAGGAGAAGATGAGCAAAGAGTCAAATAGTGATGATTTTCTTACAGGCTGCTTAGCTATAAACCACATTTAACTAATAGCAGCCACAGGGCAATCAGCCCAAATGCTCTTCATAAGAACTCTATATCCTTAGGTGACCACTAGCCAAATTGTCTAGGAAAACCATTGCCAACTAGCTTGTGGCCACTGTTTTACTGGAAAAAGTTTTACAAGAGCCTACCGTATTTCACAATCTCAATTCTGTTTTTTCAAATTACAAGTTAATTTAAAGAACTCCACTGAAGTTCTAACTAAAGTATTTTTTATCTCCAAAATAATGCTAAGCCTGTGATTTAATAACCACTTTCACTGAACCGCAGGACACAAAATGATTTGCGCAATTTGAATGCCAAGTACAATTCTGGGTGCACAGAAGAGAAATGAATTCATTCCACAGAGGGGCTGGCTTAGGGCATGACGTTGGGCTTAATTCTCTCCAGAGGTGAGTGCTAACTTTAGGTTAGCAGACAGCAGATGGTAGCATATAAAGGGAATGTAAGTGTGATCCTGTTTTCTACAACTTTAGAGAAAAGAAAAATAAAAACGAAACAGCAAGTCACCAAAGACTTTCC